ATTAGAACCGGCACCCATATGGAATCCCGGCGCTTTCAAGGCGAGGACTTTAGCCGCTAGCCCACACTGCCGGGCCCAGGCATGTACATTTTTTAGAGATAAATAGGAAGGCTCAACTAAGAACGTGACATTTGAGCAATGACCCAGAGGAGGTAAGAAATTGTTCATGTAAACATACAGAGAAACAGTATTCCCACCAGAGTAGCCAGTGCCAAGATCGGCTCTAAACAAAGGTGTTTCAGGATAGTGGGAAGGCCACAGTGGCTGGAGTGAGTGAGATGGGCAGACCCACAGGAGACAAAACCAGAGACAGGAGGGCTGGACACTTAGGCCAGGACTTCTGCTTCAGATGGAAAGCCACTAGAGGCTTGGGACAGTGCCATGAACTGACTAATTTTGCTAAGTATCTCTCTGAGAATAATAGACCATAATATACAAGCTAGGCAGACCAGTTAAGACGATACTGTGGTCAGGGTCAGCACTGATACAGTAAGTAAAACCGCTGCCTGCAGCATCGTGACCCCATGAGGGTACCACTTCATGTCTAAGTATTTGTCTTCTGACCCAGTTGGGGGTGAGGGAGATGTGCCTGCAGCAGAGGATGGCCCAAGTTCATGGGTCCCAACACCCAAGTGGGAAGCCTGGAGGTGGCTGCTGGATCCTGGCTTCAATCTGGACCAGCTTCAGCCATTGTAGCCATTTGGGGAGTGAACCAGTGAACAGAAGATTCTCCTCCACCCATCCTTTCAAATAAATAAATAAACCCTCAAAATAATAATATTACTTTTTAGAGAGATGATGGTTTGATCACAGGTTGAAATAATGGAACTAGTAAAAAAAAAATCAGACTATATCAGAATATATTTGGCAGGTAGAATTGGAAGGCCTTGCTAACAAACTATTTGTGGATTATAAAACTGCATAAAAATCAAAGAGAAATCCATGATTTTGTGTCTATAATGACTGAAAGAACAGATGAGGCTAAATTATGTGGAGAAAACTAGATTCAGAATTGATTTCACGAAATCTGAAATATTTATTAGACATATAAGTGGAGATACAAGATGTCTACTGGTATACAAGGGAGCTGGGCTAAGGATACAAACTTTGGGTTCATCAGCATATGGATGACACTGAGAGATATAACAGAACATAAGATCACTAAGACAATAAGAGTAGCTAAAAGGCCAGCACTCCAAGCCCTGGACATATTTGGGCATTGGAAACTTAAGAAATAAGGGAAATGAAAATAAATTAGCAAAAACTCCTAAACAGTTTATTCCAGAAGAGTGTTTTATGCTGAAATCCAAGTAACACGTATCAAGGGAGAAGGAACAATCGGCATATCACGCTAATTTGACAGATTATGTAAAATCAGGACTAAGAACCAACCACAGAATCTAGCAACATGAAAGTCATTTGTAACCTTGACAAGAGCCACCCCCGTGGCGGTCACGGCTTTTCCTTATCGAACGGGACCACGAACAGTGCAAAGAAGGCAACTGGAGACAGTGAATGTAAACAACTCTTGAACAGTTTTTCTATTACAAAAAAATAAAGAACACAAAATTAGAATATAATCAGAGGAGGGATTGGGGTCAAAAGACATCACTTTTTATTTAAGATTTATTTGTTTTTATTGCAAAGTCAGATAGAGAGAGAGAGAGAGAGAGAGAGAAGAGGAGAGAGAGAGAAGAGGAGAAACAGAGAGAAATATCTTCCATCCAATGATTCACTCTCCAAGTGATAACAGCCAGAGCTGAGCTAATCCAAAGCCAGGAGCCAGGAGCTCTTCCAGGTCTCCCACGCAAGTGCAGGATCCCAAGGCTTTGGGCCATCCTTGACTGCTTTCCCAGGCCACAGGCAGGGAGCTGGATGGGAAGCAGGGCTGCTGGGATTAGAACTGGTGCCCATAATGGATTCCTGGCACCTTCAAGGTGAGGACTTCAGCTACTAGGCCACAGCGCTGGGCCCAAGACATTTACTTTTAAGACGAGAGAAACAACAGCATTTTTATATGCCGACAAGGAGGAACTGACGGTGCACAAGATGGGAAGGGAGACTGCAGGAACCCTGACTTCTATAGGTGGAGAGACTGATATTCAACATACAACTAAAAGATCTGTTTCTGGAGTGGAGCAGGCTGGTTAATCCACAGCAAGACTAGAAAACAGAGTACACGCTACATAGACAAGTACATGTGATAGTAGAAGCTGTGGAGTTTCTCTTCTGATGACTCATATTTTCTTAATAAAATAGGAGACTAGAACTCAGAGTTGGGGGTGAGGGAGATGTGCAAAGATTCTTTGAAGACAGTAGGAGAGCATGTTGCCCTATAGCACAAAGGGCTGCCAAAGACCGGAGGTAGTTCACACCATCATCAGCCAGGCAGTCATATGTTCTCAGCCACAGTTACTGTGCAGAGGCAGGATCTGAGTGCTGGAAAGGGACAGCCAACCCACACCAGGCTTTAATCAAAATAGAAGAGGAAGAGAGTCGATGGTACACACATACATGACTTATAATGGATCCTAAAATAAAAACTCTCAAGATGGAAGGCAGGTATCTAAGAGGATGCATAGCAGTGTAGAGGGAGCATTGTCAAAAGCGTGCGGGCCTGCTGGAATCGAAGGATTTCTGCAGTCAGGATCCCAGAGGGACTTACAAGAGGTGTGTGGTAGAGAGAGGGAGACTTGAAATTGGGATCAGAGAGATACCTACCACCCTTTCTTTCAGCATCCTTGCCATGACACCTCCAACAAAGGCCTTAGTTACATCTTTCCCAACCACCTGCAGACACCAGAAAGTTTATGTCTTCCGAGCTGAGTGTCCAATGCAGACAACAGAAAGCAATCTACCTGATTTGGCTATTGCAGTGCTTCCCCTCTTGAAGGCTACGAGAATTCAAGGAAGTGACATTCTATAACAAAGTGGAACCTTTTGTCTTCTGAACTGGACTCAACCTACACACATACTAAGGCTTTGAACATTACAGCTGGACTTGATCCTAGCTTGCAGAACTGTGGGCCGAAATTTAGATGAAGTCTTTTCTACTTCCTTTCCTATAACCATCTACGCACTCTGGGCAGTGGTTTCCAGAGGAGGTCTGGTCCAGCCAACAATGTCCTTTTTTTTTTTAACAACAAACAGGCAACAACAATCAGGGAGACATCCTGTTCTCCAGAAAAGAATGACAGAGCTGTTGGAGGAGGGCTCAGAGACTACCAGCATGGGAAGGGTTTATGGGGTGAGGTAACCACGTTGCCCACTTTGTGGATCTGGTGTTGCGTTTCCTACCTCTAGCTCACTGTAAGGACTCTGTAGGATATCTTAGCCAGGATAAGGTTTAAGCAAGCTTTCCTTAGCACTGCTTTCACGCAGGCCTGAGGGTAGGTTCTCAGCCACTTTTTCTCATTTATCACTCAGAGATTACATTTCTCACTAACTCATTTTTCATTGCTTGCTACACAGCAGATCCTCAACAACAAATGACTGCATATGTGCATGGGTGGATGTTAAGGACAGAGGAAGACACAGCACAGATCTGCATGTTACCCCTCAGCTCCGTGCTAGGTGCTAAAAGCTAAAACACTCCAAAAGGTTGAATCTAATTTTTCTCCATGACAATGTACCTGGGCTAAGCAGTCATTTTTTTATTCAGTTTTACTTTCATTTTTCCTACCCTTCTCCAGTCTAAATCCTATATAAAAATAAAGGGTAGCCATTCTCATCTGAAAATATTTTCTTGAGCCTCCTTCTTCTAGCAATCACCTACTTAACCCTTTCTCTAACACAAAGTGACACTGGAGGCAGCACCCTGGAAGGAGACAAAAATCATGAACTCAGAAAAAGTGGCTGAGCTCCTACAGCTAGACAGGCTCCCCCCAACACACCCTACTAAGGAATTCAGGTTCTGTAAAAGCAAACCACATTCCTGTTTGCTGACCACTACTTACTGGTCAGAGGACTGTTGACAATGATTTCCATGGAAAGTGACATTTGACTCTTGTGTTGTCTCCCAGTAGACTCATTTCAACTAAGAAACCAACAAGGAGGCCCTAGGGGGAACTATTTCGTGGCAGTAATGGGATGAGAATGACATAAGATGTTCTCTTGTCCAGTGATTGGATCATTATCTGTATCTGAGCAGTCTGCTTGGGGATAGAGAAGTCGCAATGTCTCCAGAAACACAAGTCAGACTCTCAGCAAACATGCAGAGAGGTGTACCTAGGCGTAGGGGAATGGTGAGCAGTGGCAACTCATTAAAAAAATAAATAAAGCAATGACAACAAAAACCTCAGGCCTAAAAATGCTTATTCAACAAGCACGACCTGCCACACAAATGGACATATAGTAAAAAGAGATTTTGATAGATTTAAAATTGCATTTGATTTTAAAATGTGTAATTTACACAGAAGTTGTTTGGCTCATAAAAGAAAGCACCAGTGTACATTTTGGCCCCAGTGTTAGCACAGCAGCCAGGCCTCTCCAGTAAACTACCCATGGGGAGCAGTCACCACTGCAGGCTGGGGTCCAGGAGGGGAGCGTTTTTTCTGCCAGCCTTAGATGTGAATGTGCTAACTCCCTTCTCAGTAGTGGCTCGCAACTGAGCACAGGAAGCTGCTGCTTTGAAAGAGCTCAGTGTGCAGCGTGCCGGGCACTCTACACATTTACACAGCAAGGTCAAAGAGAGAGCCCTGCACCTGTCCTCAGAAATTGTGACTCAGTAAGTCTAGGACGAGATTTGACAAACTATAACCGGGGTGATTTTGACGCAGGTGGCCTACAGACCAGGATTTGACAGGTGCTGGCTTAGGGAAGATGTCCTACACATTGTGTGTCAGGGGAGACTTCCCTGCCTTCTGGATCCAGCATGCCCTCTGTTCCAGGATGCTCTGTAATCTCATACTTGTGAACAGTTGCTGTTCAACACTGCCGTGCTGGACAAGCCCATCTGAGGCTCACTGTGCCACACCCCTGATTTCTCTTTATTCTGTTAGAACGATTACAGGAAGTTATCTATGCAATGCAAGGATTTTGTGGTGGGTGTGCTGGACCTGTGCCGAGACACAGAAGAGGTGGAAGCAATTTTAAATGGTGATGTGAACTTTCAAGTCTGGCCCGACCACCACCGTCCCAGTCTGAGCCGGATCAAACTCGCCATTAAATATGAAGTCAAGAAGGTAAGCCTCCCTCTCCCTCCTGGCCATCCTGCCTTCCTGTACAGGGCTGCCGCCTTAGCTTTGTGTGCATGTCTACTTCATGTGCCCACAAGGTGACTGTGATGACACCTGAATTCCCTCTAAGCTGGGAAATGCCCCCTTGCAGAGCTGTGCAGAGCCTTTCTCATTACCCTCCTTCTTGACCTCAAGCCCCTGTCCACCAAGTAACAGAGAGATCACAATAATTAGTCAATAAGTAGACCTGAACCTGGAGAATAAAGAGATTTTTCAGCCTAACATCACCGCAAGGGCTCCTGTGAACTAGAACGCCATTTCCTACGTCTGTAGAAGTATGTCACTCTAGTCTTTTGATAGCATTTAGATTGTTTTTTCTGTGTGCCTGGGAACTATCTGTGTTGAGAAGAGAGTAGAAGGTTTGTGGGATCCACAGTCCTGGGAGGGGTATCAAAGTCAGCAGGAAGTTCCAGGTAGGATCTTGCACTTCAAGGCCATTTTCACTCAGGAGCCCTCCGAAAACACAGTGGCTGCTCAGAATGAAGTTCTGCAGAGTACAGGTCAGTTGTGTTTCCATTGGCTGCAAGCGGAACCCCTTCAGAGCCTGCTCTTGTGCCACCTGACATCATTCATCACGATGAAAAGAAAGAGCCTTAAAGTCCCATCCATTCAGATGTCAGAGTGCTTTTCACATCAGCAAAGCAGCTGGAAAGTTTTTGAGGGGTCCTGGGGTGGTTGTTAGCTATTTCATGTGGTCAAAACTGACTGATTTTTTAATGCTCTCAGATCAAACTCTGGGCAAATTTCCTCTTCCCTGATTATCTTAACTGCTGTGAGGTAAACCAGTCTTCAACAAACCACATTTATCTCTGTTAATTATCTAAGGAGCACTTTCAATCTGATAAAACATTCCCTTTTATTTTAATAATAATCATAAATGGTTAAAAAAAAATGCTTTTTTCTAAACTTGGCATCCCAAAGGTAAAACCGATGAACCATGCAAGGCAAAGGGGGCGTTAGGGATTATTAAATTGGGGAGGGTGGGAATTAGGAAAATTAGAATGCCATCTCAAGGATAATCCTCCCTTCTATGATCAGGGAAGCTCATTTTGTATCCCAGCCCAAGAACTCAGTGAGACTTTTCCCAAAGTATCACAACCACTTCCTGAAGCTGCTGACATATCAATAGCCCTGACTCAAGCAAACCCAAACAAGCTGGGGAGGCTGCTCGGTAATGGCAACATGGAAATGGTAAAGTTGAGCTGGAGTTCCCAAAACTACCAATGTTCCATTCATTCTCCAGGCCAGGGTATCATCCTGCTTCCCAATACAGGGTAAGCTACAGATGTGAGGGAAGCCCCCAGAACACAAGACGCTTGGTGTTCAGGGATGGTATCCACAGTTCTATCAGTGAGCAATCCCAACATTCCAAGGAAGGCAGATGTTCACCATTTTCTTGAAACACAGATTCAAATCCCCTGAGCAACACCACCACGTAGATACATTCACTCAGTCAGTTCAAAAGTCTAGGCTCTCACAGCTACATGTGCCCTTTCTTTGTTGATTACCAAGTACAAAATGACAAGTAATGAATAAGAAAAAGTGAAACCCAGGGTGAGTGTGACAGTTTAGGTAAGAATAAAAAGGTTTCATAAGGGAAATTATTTGCTCTGCTGATATCTGCCAATTAGGAGAGCCATAAAAGATCTCGGGAAATATCCATCATGAATGTCAAGTGTCTGCTGCAATCCATAGGTATGAAGGTGATAAACGACCCATATAAAAATGCCAGTCTTACTCCTTTCAGCGAGCTCCAGTGGATAGATTTTCTCAAATCATGTATGCCGCTGTGCAATGGCAGACAGGTTCTGGCTTTCCTTGACATTTATTCTATTATGAATTATCAGTGAAAATACTTAATATAAAAAGGCTTATTAGTATTTTAATGAACTTCCATTTTATGTGTAACATGCTTATGTGGACACATCATCCTGAAGATTTGTATTCTGAAATGACTAGCACCAAGGCCTATTTAGAATTATCTGATCTCTTATAGATGAGACACAGACTAGATATCAAGTGTATTGGGGCTTGGAACACAACTCCTCAGAATCCGTCCCTGTGATGGCAAATAAACCCATTAATCCAATGGTTAAAGTAAACAAGTTGTTTTTGGGTAACTATAGGCATTCCCTCAGACAGACAAGAAGAAAAAAAAAACATTTTGTTTTCAAATAAATTAAAGACCTTGAACTAAACATAGCTAGCATATTCCTTTGCATAAAAACATTGTAGTCTTTTCAACGCATCACTACTCTTAAAAAGACAGGTATAGTACGTATTACTGACCACAAAACTCGAACCTCTCATAGAACCACCTTGCATGTCCACGAAATGTCTGGATCTCAGTGAAGTGGCTGCTACTCTGACTGGTGCTGTGCCCTGGGCCGTGTCTGTCACTTGCATGAGGCATCTTTCCAGGCTGCTCTCTAATGTTTCACTGGCTGGCTGGCTTAGCCATGACATCATTTTCCCTTAGAGGGCGAATAATTATTCACCACCTATCACATAAGGAAACACTGCCTGCTAGAGGGAGAAGAATCCTGAACCGAGTGTTGTGAGGTGAGATTTCCAGCCTGGTTCATACACTTACTAATCATGGGATCTTGAGCAAGTCAATGACGCTCTCTGACCTCATCCTTCATCTGCAGCATGGGCACAGCAGAGCTTTGTGAACTATCAGAGACCAGGGGAAATGCTCCATCAACAGTAAAGCCCCATGCAGCTCCACCAGGAAGCATTACTGCCATCACTTAGTGCTGACTCTCCTCCTTGGGACTCTGGGAAGTCCTTTTCGCCTCTGAGGTCTTCCTATATCCTTATGAAGAAAAATAAAACATTCTAGTTCACTAAGCTTAAATGAGGTGACATTTTAATGTTTTCAAGGTTGTTTTAGTTGACAAGTTAGCTTAAAATTTCTAGTTCAAGTTATAAGTGGCCTTTATAATCCTGAGACTCTCTCTTTTCCTTTGTTCTCTCTCCAGAAAATTCTACAAATATATCCCCATGGAAAGGGTATCACTCTCAGAGCCTAACATTCCTCCCCAAAATCCAAGAAACTATGAGGCTACGGTTGCTTGCCATGACTTCTGCCTTAAGAGGACCCCAGTGTTCAGGAGGTAGTGGCAGAGGTGTGGCTAAGGGGTGCCCATTAACATCAACCCTGGGTAGAGGCTACTGAACAAATAACTTATCCTCCATCACCAACCCACCCCCTGCCAGTTTCTCATTCTCACTGTAAAGTTGGGATAACAACACCTACTTCTTAGGGCTATGCTGAGAGCCACATGGCATCAAATGGTGCCTCACGTTTCTGTTGGTTTCAAGAACCTGTAAGTATAAACGGGAACACAAAGGCACCCACTGTATTAGCTTATAGCAAACCTCCACATCGTTTGAAGAAACTTATGTTAACCTGCTCAGTCCTGCCCAGCCCTCACACAGTTCCTTCAGAAGCCAAGCTGACCTCATGCCAAAGCAGGAATAAGATCCTCTCTCCCCTGCTGAGTTAAAACAAACAAACTAACTAAACTCAGCAGCAACTTCTTGTGTGCCTCAGTGCTAAAGAAAACAATCCTCCCAGCTTTGGCTTGTAGCGCCCCTGTTCACAGTCCTTGGCCTTCTCCAGGTCCCTGAGTAACAGACATTTGGCTATGTGCTCCATCTCACTCTATCTTTCTCTGTCCCCAAGGAACCAGGCCTTCTCTCTCCACATATCAGCTATAAATAAATGCATAGGGAACTTTTAGTCCCAGTAATCTAAATTGTAGCCAACCTCTAAGTCAATTTTATACTGAGTAGGGCACAGACTGCCCTATACCCTGAGTGATGCACACCCAGAAGCAGTCCTTGCTGCTCCATTCTGCTTACCTAGGGGAAGAAACACTCCTCGTCCTCTCTCTCCTCTCTTCATTCCCCGGGCTTACATGGATCACCTTTCCCTTCCTTCCCCTCCATCATGTCTTCCTTCTTCCTGATTCCAGTGGGCCTCTTGTTTACCTCAGTTCCCCACGCTCAACTGTGAGAGGACAGTAGGACAAAGACCTGTTTCTGTATGATTCAGACCTTCACTTGACTTAAAAAGCTGACAGTCTCTCTACTGACAAAGGAAAATCAAAACTAAAACAAGAGAAATACATAAATACTCGTTGCCAAAATGTATCACACCCATAGAAGAAAACACATCCATTATCACATAGCATGGCAGGATCAGTGACAGGGATGACTGCTTCCCTCTGACAGGTGGATTTAGTCTATACTCATGAGCTCTACCCTGAACTCACCCTGACAGGAACCCAAAGCAGCAGCATTTTGTGTTCTACTTGTGCTGCAAGGGAGCCATTAGCCTCAGTGATTAATTAACCTCTGACATGTCCATGTGACCACTGTGATGATGGAAATGAATTCTATAGTAATTACTGGCGAGTCAATAGCGACGCTGTGGTCAGTGGTTACCACACTGGAGAGCACAGCTACCTCTGCATCTTCACTTATGCATCAACATGCTTCTGCTGAGTGACTACAAAGTATGGTTTGCTGATCACTGCAGACGTGGTAGTAAATGAAAGTAACATGACTTCAGCCATCACGGGGAAGGCAGACATAAATAAAAATGTCACACACGTTGCTTATAATGCTGCAACTGTAATAGATGCCATGAGACTTGACGAATAAGACTGTGTGAGAACTTTCAAGGGTGGATATGAACTAAGCAGTGAGGGCAGCGAAAGCTCTCTGAGGAGCTCATGCTTGCCTGAGAGGTCAAAAAGGGTTACCAGAGTCAAGGATGGCACTTCTGGCCAAGAGAGCACACATTCAAGGGATAGCCAACAAACCTGAAGTAAGAAGAATGAGCTAGAACAACAAGTCAGCCACCAAGCAAGAAAGCATGTAGAGGAGCGGGATGGGAGGTGAATCTAAAGACAGGCACTTGTTTATTTTAAAAA